TCGCCTTTACTGGAAAAATTTTCTGAATCCGTCTGTACTGTTTCGCCCCCCTCAATCAAATTTCTGGCTCCGTCCCTGCTCAGGACACCACATGGCTTGACCGAAAAATAAATTGAACGTTTTACAATAGTATATAGACTAATGATTTACTTAAATAAATTAAGTAAAATAAAATTTATATTTTTACACTACATCTTTAAAAATTATTATTTATGACATCATGAAAATGTATAGTGATGTCATGTCTGGGACATCATATAAAACAAAACTCAGTAACAACAATGCATCAAAGTGGTCCTTCCATCACTCCTTAAATAACATCCATCACAATCGCAATCCCATAGTGGGTTGGTAAAGTGCTACACGTTTTCATCTACTTTGCTTCATTCCCATGATTCCATCCTTCAACTGGAAAAGGATTTGGCCGGTCTAGCTCTTTTAATTTCCATTATAAGAATGAGCAAACTCTGCAAGTTATTACAAGTTTGATTTTTATGGAAAAAAATGTTAAATATATTCTTTAAATTTGTCAAATTCTGCAATTTTTAAAAATTTGATTATGAGATTTTAATTTAGAAATGTGATAAAACCAATTACAAAATTATTTTTAAGCAAATCATATTACTTAGATAATATTGTAATTTATTTAGTAATATGTTTTATTTACTTTTGTTACTTTTTGCACATTTAGTATAGTGTATTGAATTTTTTTAATATAAAAATTAAATTTGTAAAATGAAGTTAGAAATTGGAGAAATGGAAAAACTGAAAAAATAAAAATAAAAATTAGAAAATTGAAAAATGAAAAACAGAAAATTGAAGTAAACGACCTAAATTTTTTAACTGTTTAAAACTCTAATGAACTTCTATAAATTTATAAAAATGCGCAATTAAGTTTCACCGTTGTAACTTATTCAGCAGACTACTGTTGCTTAAACCTTCACATGTAATATTTTCAAAAGTATCGATGATTTAGCTGGACACATGAGATGATGAAATGAAAACCTTAACACAAATTTTTTAAAACTTATTAAAAAAGATAAAAATACAGAGGGAGATTGTCTCTGGTTTTTTTTTTTTTTTTTTTTTTCGATTTCAACATATGTTCGTAAGCTTCATAATACTCTTTGATTATACGGCCTCTTGACGGAAATATTAACGGTGGACTAAAAGTGGAGCACATTCAATAACAATTGTTGTAAAGTGGCAAAAAAAAATTAAAGTGGACTGAAATTGGAAACGCCCCTATAACAGTAGGACCAAAAATGGAATTCACTCTAATACGGAGTATACAATTGTACCATTATATAAATACAGAAAAAAATTCTTAAGAGCAACCTAAATCATTCACAATAATGCAAAAATATAGTTAAAATGTTGAATCTTGTTTTAAATAATCAAATGAAGATTAATTTAAAAGAAAAAAAAAAAAAAAAGGAAAAAAACGTAGTCTAGATTTGTTAAAAAAAAGTTTATATTAAATTTTATATTATTTTTTTAATACACTCTAATCTATTCATAATATATATTCAATAATTATGTCAATTCTTATTGAGATGAGAATCAAACCTGACATTTTACTTATGGAAAACAACCGTGTTAAATATTATATTGTTAACTATTAATTAAGTTTTGTAACTTATGTTCCGTTATGGGAAAAAAATAGTAATGGCAAATGAGGAAAGATTTTATAATTATACAAAAAAGTAAGCAAAATGTAAACTCATTGTTGCAAACAATTACACCAATACCTTTTTTTATTCCCATTATACCCTTACCATCTTTAGCTCCTTATTATATTTAGTTGATAGTAGAAATTGAAGACACATAATATATAAACTACATGCACATAATAGGTTAACTGTAATCACATAATATGCATTTAACATATTATGTATATGTAGTACAGTTAACCTACTATGTGCTTTCAATTTATTTATAGATACATAATTTAATAATTAAAAACACATAATATGTTAATTATAGATACATAATTTTTGAAATATGATCCACAATGCATGGACGACCCTTTATCATGGTATAAAATTTAACCTGGAGGGTGTGGTTGAGTGGAAGTAACTCATCCATCCTTAACCAAAGGTCAAGGGTTCAAACCTTGACTTTAGAAATGGAGCAGGCTTAAATCTCCAGTTGTCTCATTGTCCCATTGAAAAAAGATACCTACAATTCAGCGAGGGGATTAGTAGTCACTGTGTTCGACGGTGGAAACTCTAAGTATACCAAAAAAAAATAAAAAAATCATGGTATAAAATTTGGGTCCGTATCATTGGACAAAGATAGCCATTGTTGTCTCAATCCAACAATTTGTTTACAAAAGTTTGTTTAATTTTTGGTTCAGAAAAAAAGTTTGTTTAATGTTATTATCACCTTGTCCAAATCATCTCGTGTCAGATTAAATTATCAAAATTATACTATAAAAGTTTAATAAGTGCCAACGAACTTAATAGCAACTTGCAAAATAGATAACAATAAGACTATATTATTATTATTATTATTATTATTATTATTATTATTATTATTATTATTATTATTATTATTATTGTTGTTGTTGTTATTGTTGTTGTTGTTGTTGTTGTTGTTGTTGTTATTATTGTTATTGTTATTGTTATTAGGTCGATTTGAAGGGGTTTGGTAGAACTTTTTCAATAATTGAACTAATAGAAAAAATATTATAGATTTGCATTTCTAGTAAACTCAAAAGCCATAGATGATGATGAGGTGTCAAAGCAATAGAGTTTTGTGAAACACTTTTCAACAAGGCATGAGCACTTGAGCACAAAAACTTTTTTTTTTTGTTTTTTTTTTTTAAATTTTATTTTTCATTTTAAAAGAGTCTAAATTCAACAATAAATGTATTTTTTTATTTAGTTAAGAACATGAACTGGCCATTCCGATTCGCGATTTTAATAAACTCTAAATATCAGGTTTCGATTCTAAATTGTAATTGAAATATTTCAGTTTGGTTGCTATAGTATCTGCCCGATTTGAACCAAATCGTGGTCATAATTTGTTGGATAAGAAAAATAAATGAAATATTTATTTGAAGGTTAAATATGTCCTTTTAATATTTCAGGGGAAAAAAATAATCACTTGAATAATTCAGGAGAAAAAATACTATAAGTATATAATTCATGAGAAAAAGTGTTGTTTTCCCTTAAGAAAATCATATTACTTGGATAATGTTGTCATCTACTTAGTAAATGTTTTATTAACTTTTGTTACTTTTTGCATATTTAGTATAGTATATTGAATTTTGTTTTAATATAAAAATTAAATTTGTAAAATGAAGTTAGACATTAGAGAAATGGAAAAACTGAAAAAATGAAAATAGAAATTAGAAAATTGAAAAATGAAAAACAGAAAATTGAAGTAAACTACTCCTAAATTTTTCAAGTGTTTAAAACTCTATTGGACTTCTATAAATTTATAAAAATATGCAATTGAGTTTCACCATTGTAACTTATTCAGTAGACTATTGTTGATTAAACCTTCACATGTAATATTGTCAAAGGTACCAATGATTTAGCTGGGCACATGAGATGATGAAATGAAAACCTTAACACATTTTTTTTAAACTCACACGGGTTGGACTCCGATATGGGAGATTGTGAGTTCGAGCATCAGTAGAGGCATTATTGGTTCTTTGTGCTTCAGTAAGTTGAGAAAGTAGTTATAAACAGATACTATATTGTAATAGAGTCAGTAGCATTCAAAAAAAAAAAAAAAACCCATTAAAAAAGATAAAAATCGCAGGAGGGAGATCTACACAATTATCTCAGGTTTTTTTTTTTTTTTTTTTTTTCGATTTCACAATTAATTTTTTTAAAAAAGTTTGTTTAATGTTATCACCTTGTCCAAATCATCTCAGATTAAATTATCAAAATTATACTATAAATAAAAGTTTAATAAGTGTCAACGAACTTAATAGCAACTTGTAAAATAGATAACAATAAGACTAAATTATTATTATTATTATTATTATTATTATTATTATTATTATTATTATTATTATTATTATTATTATTATTTGGTCGATTTGAAGGGGTTCGGTAGAACTTTTTCAATAATGGAACTAATAGAAAAAATATTATAGATTTGCATTTCTAGTAAACTCAAAAGCCATAGATGATGATGAATTGATGAGGTGTCAAAGCAATAGAGTTGTGTGAAACACTTTTCAACAAGGCATGAGCACTTGAGCACAAATTTTTATTTTTTTATTTTTTTATTTTTTATTTTTTTATTGCAAGCACTATCACTCATTTTATCAGGAAAATAAATAAATGGGAGAAGAAGAAGGAAAATAAATAAATAAAAAGCAAAACTAACTGAGAAATAGTAGAGAGTTTAGGTGATAATTTTCGCTTGATATTAGATACTGATTGACTAATTATTCAATTAAAAAGTATTTTTAATTATATAATTAACCACGCAAGTAATTAAAAAAATTTAAATTACCTCAATAATTTCCCTGTGTAAGTGCGCCTGATATCATTTTCATGAAATGATGATGCTTCATACTACTGTCACTTTTGTAGTTGTTGGCTAAGCCTTCATAAACTTCTGTCTATGCCTTGGCCTTGCTAATGTTTGTTACAGCAATTATTCTGTTGACAATGGTCCAAAACGGCAGACATTATAGTGTATCTAAACTGATATTGTCTCACGTATTATTTGTATTATATTATCAAATGAAACTGCAATTGAATTAAAATGAAACTGTAGTTGTGTTGCAATGAAACTGCAGCGTATACAAAATGAAACTTAATAACAATTTTACATTTTTGAGTGTATATTGTCTACCGAAACTGTAATTATATCAAAATGATATTGTAATTGTGTTGAAATGAAACTGCGGTGCATATTTAATGTATAGACCACAATGCATTGTCGACCAGTCCACAGTATAATTTGCCTGTTTGTTAAAAAAAAAAAAGTATATATAAAAATGGGTGCAATGTAATAAAATATTTAGTGAGTTTAATCATGATATAAGTTGAAAAGAATGCCATCTGATCTTTAATTTCCCGTCACTGAACTGTTCTTATTCAAGTTAAATATATACCAAAAGCAACATTGTATATTAGCTACTCAAGCAAGAAACTCGATCAAGAGATGAAAATCCGAACAATTAACGTATTGTTGATCCTGGTGTTTCTAGCCGGCGGTGCGAACTCCGATACATCCAAGGACAAGGAGGAGTGCACGGAGTCGTTGTTGGGGCTAGCGACGTGCCTGCCGTACGTGGGGGGCAACGCGCCGTCGCCAACCCCAGACTGCTGCAACGGATTGAAGCAAGTGTTGAAGAGCAGCAAGAAGTGTCTGTGTCTCCTCATCAAAGACAGGAATGACCCACAGTTGGGGCTCAGCCTCAACCTCACGCTTGCCTTGGGTCTCCCTGATGCTTGCCATGCCCCATCCAACATTTCTGAGTGTCCCGGTAAGTGTTTGTGAAAATGCCTGCATCATTACTAATGGATATAGAGTCTAGAGATTAGATGATGAGTTTGAGTTGTGATAATGGGTGCAGCTCTGCTCCATTTGCCTCCCAAGTCACCGGATGCTCAAGTTTTCTATCAATTTGGTCATGCAAGTAGCCCTGCTCATACTCCCATTCCTTCAGGTACATCTACACACCTTGAATTGAATCCATAACCAATTGATCATGTGAATTTTAACCTTAGCTTTTCTGGGTGTACTTGGATTTGATGATGATGAATATTGTTATTTGGAACTGTAGAAGGCGGTCCTGCAAGTGCGCCACAAAAGAGTGGCGGTCGTCGTTGCATTGGAAGAACATGGTTGGCTTTGGAAACTGTTCTTCCACTTTCTGGATTAGTCTTACTATGGACTTACACAATATAAAACCTTTAATTTCCAGAAATTATGAGTCTTTGTTCGAGATATGTTAGGTTCCTGTATGATCCGATCCAAGTCATAAAGTTTAATTTATTTTGCATTTTATTTTGTGTAATAAACTCTGTCCCCTCTTGTGTTTCATTTGGTCTCGTTTACTTAATATACTCTTATATTTTGTTAAAATCTCCCAGTTAATGCATTTAATTACGTTAGATCACAAAGTTTTTCATCATATTGTTAATTACTTGATTTTGTCACTGGATTAAATTACATAGGTATAAGTAATAAAGTCTGAAAATAATTTTTTAAGAAATATTTAATTCATTATCAACAATACATATTGATAGAGGAATTGGGTGTGCGTATGGTCTAAAAAGTGATTGGAGTCCGAGGAAGAAGAGCATTGTAACACCCCGTGTTACGACCCCTAAAACAAATTAATTATTTAATCATTTACCCAAAAGAAAGGACTAAATTTCAATAATTAATTGGGAAAAGGCCTACCATAGTCTATGGGCCCTTATCCCTAAACCCAACCCCCTAGTCCTAGAAGGAATAGAACTAGCCCTAATTAGGGACTCTTAGGTATATAAATAGGGGGCATAGGAGGCACCTAGAACCCACGCCACAATAATCTCCCAGCACACAAGAAGTTCCAAGAATCCCCCTAGGAGAAATCAAGAAAGAAGGAATCTTAAAGAAAGACCCTTCATAGCCAAGGAAATTAATTAAGGCAAAGAGGTAACCCATGTCTCAACAAAACCTATTTTCCTTGCTATAATTATCTTCTTTGGCCTCCTCTCTATACTTGTGTCTTGATGAATTGTTTATGATATTGATGATATGTTCTTGATGATTGTGAGATAATTTTATGTGTGATCTTGATGATCTTGATGATGTTAAGAGGTTCTTGATGATTATGTGGTGTTCTTGATGAATCTTGATGTTTTGGTAATTAAAAGATGAACTATGATTTTATTGATTTGAATATGATTATAGCCCTAGGTTAAAATTGGGAATTTCGTATTGTGTTATTCTTGATATAATTGGGTGGGATTTCGCATGTTCGGGTGTTGATTATGTTTAGAAGTCATGATAGGATATGTGCTATATGATTCTTGCTTTTGATCCGTTAATTGTCTACGTGGTGTCATCAATTGCGTTTAAAAGTGTCTAAGCATGGTTTCGGGTTCCACAACGGATCCCGGGACGTTTATTTTAATAAAGAGTCAGTGGGGGGTAGGTGGCGGTAGGGGGACCCGCCACCTACCCGCTGCCCAAGAAGGGCATCGCTGGCGGGCAGGCGACTGCCCGCCGGGAACCCGCTGCCCGAAGACTTGTCGCCGACGGGCAGCCGGCGGGTGGCCCTCCACCCACCGGCTACCCACTGGAAATTGTCCAACTCGGGACTCCGGCTTCCCCATTTGATGTTTCCCCGACCCCCGTGGTGTCCCAACGGACTCCGTTTATTGTGCCTAAAGTCTAGTTTGATGTTTCGGGTACCATTCGTAGAATATATATATCACATGCTAGTTGAATTGGTATCCCGTTGGCCTAGGTGAAAGAAGTATGAACCCCTTAGGATTATTCCTAGTTTGTGGATGACCACGCATAGGTTTCATTATACGTTTTCTCCCCTTCCCAATGTGTTAATGTGGGTTGCATGTGCTTGCTATGTGTTATGTGTGCATGATACCCCAATTTGGTTGCGATCAAATTGGTTATTCCTGAGCTGCGGTTCAGAAGCTGGCTGCGGTCAGAATTACACTCTCGGGCTGCGGTCCACCGTTTGGTTGCGATCAAACGTATTACATGAGCTGCGGTTCATACTCCTGGCTGCGGTTAGATGATCACTTTTGGGTTGCGGCCCACAGTTTGGTTGCGATCAAACGTTTTACATGAGCTGCGGTTCATATTCCTGGCTGCGGTTAGACGATTACTCTTGGGCTGCGGTCCACTGTTTGGTTGCGATCAAACATTATGATGAGCTGCGGTTCATCGGTCGGTTGCGATCGACCCCTTCGTATTGCGATACGAGGCAGGGTGCTGCGGGGCCGTGTCAGAGCTATATGCGCTGACCCTCATGTATGGGCATGCAATTGGTCCTGTGGCGCCACCAAAGTATGCTTGTGTGATGAGATATGAATCGAATGATGACGTGAATGAGGTGAAGTGAATTTGTGACCATAGAATATATGCTAGTATCTTTACATGCTTGACTATAACTATTGAATGTGTTTATCCCTATCTGTCGAGTCTATTCTTGGTTTTAAAACTAGTGTCTCTTAAGTATATATCTTCCTGCTTCAAAATGGTTTTCGTGTATGTATATATATATATATATATATATATATATATATATATATATATATATATATATATATATATATATTTATAATGTATTTCAATGCGTTGGAGTGGGTTACCAGCATCTCTCGCTGAACAGATATATTTGGCTTTCAGACATAGACGAGTAGATCCCAGAGCGCGCTAGAAGATCGCAGATTAGATAGATAATCTTTCCTTCCGGCCTGCGTGTCATAATGATGTATTGAGGATATTAGTTAGTTTAGCCTGTGCATCTGAGTTCTCTAGCTCAGATGTGGCATAGCACCCCGTACTCTTGTGATTAGTATTACTCTGTTTGGGATTTTATGAGAAATTGCCTTATTATATAAGCTTTAAAAGTTTCAAAATTTCGGGGTGTTACAAGCATATATATATATATATATTGGGGTTAAGGAGTCAAGGTGGAGTATAGGTTGGTCCTATGGGTGTGTGCATGGTCTAAAAACTTATTGGAGTCCGAGGTAGAAGAAGAGCATATATTAGGGCTAAGGATCGGAGTCAAGGTGGAGTGTAGGTTGGTTCTATGGAGCCAAGGAGGGAGAGAGTTTACGAAAGTTGGAGTGCAAAAGTTGGGGAAATGGAGTGAAAAATGCGGAGAGGCGAAAACTTTTGGGGTTTAAAGAAGAAAGTCACAAAATCAGGGGTAGAGAGTCAAAGGTTGGAGGGGGAGATAGGACCCGAGGTGAAATGGGGTAGGGGGTTGAGTGTAGGCCAATGCGCTATTGGGTATGCCTTGTGTCACATTGGGATGATCGGGTGTGCCCTCCACGTGCTCTTTTGGGTTGGTTGATATGCTCTAACTCCTCCGCGAGACATGTCTGGACATGCAGTATTGGTGGGCATCGTTTTCACAGAGTCAACATAGTCTCCATGGATTTTGGCGAGAACAACTTATTTCTTACATCTATAAGTAACAACCTCTATGCTCATTTTAGTCATTAGCTTCTATGAATCAACAAGAATTCTATCTATTTTCTCTCTGTTTCTTACAACTTTTCAAATATAGTTGAGCATTGTAAATTAGTAATATATAGCCCCCCGAACTTGTAACTTTTTCCCCATTTAATATTATTTGTTATGGGACCAAAAAGCCACCCGTGACCCAACATCCTTTACTATATTTTTCCATCTTCACTGTTAATTTTACGATTGATCACCTAATTCCGTGGTGGTCTTATTCAATGATAACCCAAAGAAATTTTCACAACCTATCTTATAAAATTAAAGAAGAAATAAAGACAAGTGGTTGTCCACATAGGCTTAGTGGCTCGAGTGAGGCATAATTGAGGCAACAACATTAGGGTATCATGGGAGTAGTGCGAGGTGCAATATACTATGGGGATGACTTAGAGTAATGAGAGTTTTTTCTCTAATGGCATATGAGACATTGAGAACAAGCCACTTTGTGGTCGCTAAGCTTGACCTTTTTGGGGGTGGAGTGATAGGCAGAACATCGTGTATGGTCGACAATAAAAGTGTAAGCCTCAAGCCAATATATAGTGTCAAAATTGTAGTGCGTCGGCCTAGAGTTGGAGTAAGGGGCCAGGAAGGCTAAAGTAGCTTAGCTGTTTGTGTGTGGTGATAAGGCAAGGAACAAAGACTGGGACTAGAGGCTAAAACTAAAGGTAGGACCGAAAGCAAATACAAAGGGTGAAGGTAGTGGACTCCCAAGCTCAAGGGACTAGATGACAAATAGTGATTTGGGTGCGCTTGTGATGTTTTTGAATAGGGTGAAATTGGAGGTGAGTTAGTTTAAGACGAAATTGATGACATGACTAGCAGAATAGTGAGTACAAGGCATATAAGGCCATGAGCCAAACCCTAGTGTAAGTAATTGGTGAGAGTGTCATGAGATGTGTTGCCTTAGCATCTATGAATGACATGTGTTGTGGGAACCTAGCCCCTACCGCTGATGCGGTGAGTAGTGTTGCGAGAAGTAGTAAGGGTAAAGGTTTGACTAGAGCAATATTTCTAGCTTGTATAGTCATGAGTCTATATAGTTATTGGAGCGTAGGGGGAATATAAACTTGTGGCAGAGGTTAAGAATGGTTATAGAATAGCAAAAAGAGTTCAAATTTGAATGCATGAGAGGTAGGGTCATGATACGAGGTCGTGGCTTTTGCGTTTACTATTTATGCTAGTGATAAATGCCAAAGATGCTATGTTTTGTGGGATATTTTGTAGGCATTTTGTGCTTTATTTGGAGTTCTTTGAGCTTATTATATGCTTATAATAGTTTAATTTGCACAAAGTTAGTAATAAGGACTAATTGTGGTTGAATTTATGCATTATATTAGAGAATAAAGATGGTAGGTAAAGCAGTTAGGATATTTTAATTTCCAGTTAGTTTCTCTGGTTAGTCTTGTATATAAGGTTGCAGACAAGCCTTGTAAAGAATCAGTTAGAAATGCAATGTAACAGTACTTTTCTTTCACAACAGATTTCTCATCCTTCATTTCCAGTTCTCTTCTTTTGCAATATGGTATCAGAGCCATAAGCTGCACTCATGGCTTGGAACGGAGCAACGAACAGACCACAACCGACTATGGCAGCACCACCACCAGCGGCAGCCGCTGCACCACCACCGCCGGCACCTGTGAATCTTGCCGGAGCAAATTTTGATCCCAACGATGCTGTAAGCCCTTATTTCTTGCATCCGAATGAGAATCCGTCTCTAATCCTGGTCTCGTCAGTTCTCAATGGGAGGAATTATCACCCTTGGGTCAGGGCAACGGAAATGTCACCTCTCTCTAAGAACAAACTAGGGTTTGTTGATGGCACGATTCCAGTACCAAATGTAGGAGAAGTGAAGTATCCTTACTCGATGAGGTGCA